TAGTGTTTGACGGACGGTGATTTGTGGTTGAACACGAGAATGCTTCTATCTGATTGATGATATGTTTGGGCTTGGTGACTTTTCACAGAACGGACAAAAGTATATAATTATGTGACAAGTGGTGTTTATTCCCAATTAATAAGTACAAACAGTACAAAATGAGTACGAATTTATTCGTTTGTTTATTGTCGTGAAAACCAATGAAGATATGCGATTTCATTGAAATTATAAAGAATAATATTTGAGCGAACAATTGTTTTCAATAACTTCCTCATCAGGCTCTACAGTTATAAGTCCAGAATTATAATATTTTACAAAGTCCAAAATGAGGCATGTATTAATTAATTTGACAATGTTATATGTTAAAAATGGTAAACGTTTGCATCTGTTACGACATATATATACTTTAAAATTGTGTTATTTGTAAATTAGAAAGGTCATTTAATAAAGGTCAAAGTGATTTGTAATCAAGTGTCTAGTCACAATTAATATAATAGTAATTTAGAAAAAATGAAAATGCAAAAAAATCGTGTGAATAAAGTGCATAACTGTAGATGATGATGAAGTTATTGAGAAACAATTGTTCGCTCAAATATTGTTCATTTTTGAATTATCTATGGGGATTTGTAAACTATTATAAAGAATACTAAATTTACTCGAAATTGTATATCAACTTGCACACATAATTATATTTACCGGCATTTTTCAAACTTTGAGAAACTGAATATTTTTTCCCTCAGCTACTGCACAGTAATCACTGTGCTTAGGAGGCCTTATTGTTTTAATGCTTCAGTGTCATAGCTACAAGGTCGCACAGCTGTTCATACACTACACATATTTAACCTTTCGGTTTGACTGGAAAGTAAATCTTTTTAATTTCTACAATCCTTTCTTTGTCTTTGTTACCATAAAAATGCTCACATAATTCTAGGTTGAAGCGCATAGTATCCAATCACAATGTTGTGGTATAGAAATCATTCCAAACTAAAATAGTTTACCTATAGAAATATTATCTATTTTTCGGTGCTCCACCCACAAACATAATTTCATAATGTGAATGATCTCTATTTTTAGCTAAGATATATAAATCGTTTGTAACACAACAACGTTCTCTATAGCTATAGCCTCAACATGCCATTAAAGAGTTTATGGTCAATTTAAAAGTGTGATAATTAGAAATGTTGAATTTTTTATACAAATCAGAATTATAGAAATGGCGTAATTTAGACTAAGAAGAACTAGATGACCACAAACGTACGTATTGTATTTGAAATTTGAAATCAGGCAGTCATGAAGTAAAAAAAATCATTAGTTCATACAAACACCGCATAAAGATAACTTAATGGCAGTGATAATTTGTTGAATCACTTTCATAAATATTATTGACTGTGCAATCTTCACTGAAGCTCTAGAATTCAGTAACGTTTTGTAACAAAATACCGTTTACTTCTTTTTATATGACATATATATATATATATATATATATATATATATATATATATATGAACAAAAACTGCACACACTTCACCAAAGAAATTAACGAACTCACAATCTTATTCCTCTACTCTTTTTAATTCACAACTTGGATTACCTATCTGGGTATCTAACTGTCTATATTGAAAATTTCTTCAGAAAACTATCAGAAGAATGATGTGAATACTCAAAGTCGAAAAAAATGTCGATTTGACTTGAAGTACAACGTCTCATCGTTGACACTAATGATATCGATTTCCATTACACAATATTTAAATTCTGTAATTATGATATTTTCTGGCGTACACCATGTTTGTAAGTGCTTAATTTACACAGTTCATTGGAGTCCGTTGAAGTCATCAGCTAGACTTGTTGTTACTATAAAAAGCAGCTTTAAAATGGTGATTTCTCAGACTTCCAAACTCTAATGACCACATTAAGTCAAACAAGTTAAAACATTCATCTGTCCTAAGATTTCCATTTTATCTTACTTGGTATGCATTAAAAATTAAAGGATGAGTCAGTTGTAGTTACAAAACTTTGCCACATTTCAACTCGTTTTAAAACTGTTTGCGATTTTTAGCTACAAGATACACTCCAGTTTTGAGTGAATAAATGCAGTTTGAAAATCTCTGACTGTAGTCGCATCCAGGATAAGTTAAGTCTCATTTTGGAAAGGAAAGGAGACTAGGTGGCATGTGTCAGTTCTAGGAGTGATGATCTCTTAGTTGATCTTACTTTCCTTTGAAAGCGCAGGCTAATCGAGCTTCAATCACGTGTTGAGTTAATGAATTCCATTCGTTGGTGATTCCATGGGAAATTCGATAGTCAACTGATAAGTAATCTTTTCTGGGATTGTGAACGTTTTGAAGTGTCCCCGTAAATTTTCTGTTTTGGATGACAGGAAAAGTGAGGGCATATCGAATGCAAACTAATCATCAATTAGTCTAAAGACAGTGGTCAAGTCACCTCTCGTTCTTCTTTATGACAGTGGAAATAAGTTAAGTTTAGTCAGTCGAGCATCATATGAGAGCTTTGCTATCCCGGGAATCAGCTTAGTTGCCGTTCTCCGAACATTTTCCAACAAATCACTGTCTCTTTTTGTCAGGAGCTAGTCACGTGTATGCAGTAATCGAGTTTAGGACGAACAAATACTGTATACAAAACCAAAAGCGATTTAGCATCGGCATGGCTAAAGGCCCTACGTATTGACCATAGGGTTCTGAAACCTTTGTCGGCTATCTCACAGAAGTGTGCAGTAGTTTCTAAGTCTTGGCTAAGGATGACTATTAATTCATTGTGTGTCTGGACAATAGGTAGGTTACTATTATTCACTGTACCTTAGTGACCAATATGTATCACAATGCACTTGGGAGCATTTATCAGCAGCTACCAAAATTAAGACCATTCAGATAATTTCTCCAGGTCATTTTGGAGCTCTAAACTATCACCTTTACTTTTTATCGCCCTCCATATCTTGACATCGTCAGCATACAACAAAACCGATGATGATTGGGGACATGAGTATCCCGTTCTAAAGTCATGCTGATTTTCGGAAAGAATCCGGTTTTCGTTGAAATACCTAAACAACTCGTTCTGAATAATCGTTTTTAAAATTTCAACAACTACGCTAGTTAGATTTATGAGTCGATAGTTCTCAGATCTATGCCTCGTATATGTATCAAAGATGCAACTTACTATAGCATTTTTCTAATCTTTTGGTAATCGACCCTGGGTTACAGATAGATTAGAACATATGCTTAAGGGAATCGCGACAAAATTTGCTAATTCCCATAGTAACCTAGGATGCATTTCATCAGGTTCCATGGATCTGCCTAAATCAAGCTCATTTAGCAGACTGAAGACACCGAGTTCCTTAGTAGTCACAGTGTCCAGTGTGTGTATGGGAGGGGTTTTTTATGAACTGAATGACAACATCTTTGCGGGGTATATTTTGCAATTGAGATGAGGAGTCATATTGTTATTCTTTGCCATAAAAGTGCCTGGAATTGCGATTCAGTTTTCTAGGAGTTTCCTTCACACTGCGACGTCGATGGTTGGGGACAGAAGAAACTTCCTTTTCTTGGGCTTTTATTTTTAGCAGACCTCTTTATAGGCCAACCCTCCTCCGTTGGCCTATGTAAGTTAATCGACTCTGAGCTTATTTGAGGCAACTTCACATCAATTTGTGTTTTGACTAATAGAGTATCGTCTGAAATATAAGAGAAAATATCGCAATATCACTCACGCTTCGGTAATGTTGGATGAAATGAAAAAACAACTAACTCTTCCTTTACATCTAGAAACTTGTTATCCGTATTTAAGATAGTAATGAGCGATTATCTAAGTGCTAGAAGCACATAGTTTAGGTTTATGTGTTTTTGAGATCATAATACATGCTGAAAACATCAACGAATACCAACACAATTCCCAAATATTAACATTGAATAGCTGTAGCAACGCATGAGATATTCGGTGATAAGGTTTTAAATGACCAAACAATAATTATATTTATCTGATTTGATGAGTTGTAGGAAAATGGAAATAAATCCTTTCCGATCAGCTGTTGACTCAACTTGTAGATTTTCTGGCAAGACGGCTTATTTGCAGTCTATCACTTGAAAGTGATCATACTTTTTAGGAGCCATGAATAAATGATATCAAAGTTATCAACATATAAATAACAGAACTTCTTCATTTACGAGGTTTTTAACCAATTAAAATAATCTGACCTTTCTTCATATGTGAAATTGTGCAGTCTCATTCAAATAAGTTTTTATTTTTGAGTTGAACCTTGAATTTGGGAAGGCACAGTATCTGTTTTGGCCAAGAATAGGTAAACCTAGAAATATGGATCCAATTATTCTGTCTAATACAATGTGTACACTTGTACTAGACTGAACAATCAAAATTAAACAGTCCTAGTGTTAGCGGGATATAAGTTGGGTTAAAACATGTTCCGTGCACAATTGTGTTGGAGCACATTGATGAGCTGTTTTTTAACCAATCAGCGCTAGCGAATACTTGGGGAAGACTCTAAAACCTTCTTACGTGGAAACTATAAATGTACTAACGTTTTTCTTATTGTGATTCCTACTTCCATTGGACCTTGTTTATTTCGAATATAATTACGTTCCTGTGCAAACGTGTTCTGATATGAGGACTTGTCGAATAAATTAGTATCTAAATTTACTAAGAAATTAGGGAGTTCAATACACTTAGTATTACCTTTGATCGAAATAAACATATTGTATAGGACCTGTAACAGCATTTAGGGAATGCACTGGAAGTGATAAGTAAGAGACAATTCATGAGTTTTTCTCAGTGCTTCTATAAAATTATTTAAAAAAAATAATAAATAAAAACAACCAATTTAAGTAGTTAGTTACTTCGGTTATTACTTATATTTTCGAAAGTAGTTTCCATACCTTTCCATTTATGTTATCTTTCAGTTGTTCTTCTGATCTCTGTTGGATATATCTCCCTCCAACTATTTGAAATATACAGGCTGACAATATCTAGTAATCATGATTGGGGAAGTTAGTACAAACAAATTCCTATCAGTGTTCTACAGCATTGGAAGTAAACCACTAGAGATGTGGGATCAACATGTAGCTTGTCCGTTTCATAATATAACGGACTTATCTTGAACTCAGGTTTGTAATGGTCGAGTTTATCGAATGACTGATGAAGAAATTCAATCGTATGTTTTAGAAATTTTGGGTCAAAATATAAGGTTAGACATTTTAACAGTCACCTAATTTTTGTTTCCTTAGTACAACATATATTACTTGTCCTAATGCTAAAAAGAAAAGCCTTGCAGTTAAAATGCCAATTTTAGTAATTGTTTTGAAGAATCTAAATAAATATTTCAGTTTTGAAGTTCAAGTAATCATATTACATAATTACAGCTAATGTTTAGATTCTTGATGATCAAAACTTAAAACGAAGATTTCATGCAAGTACTTGTCAAACAACAACAGTCGTTAAGCCGTTTGCTTGTATGATGCCAATGAAACTTGATGAAGGTTGGAATCAAGTACAATTTGATTTAGCTGATTTTACTAGAAGAGCCTATGGAACAACTTATGTAGAGACGGTGAAATTAAGTGTAAGTTAACCATGTACATAACTTTCATGGTATTGCTTAATAACTTTATCATTTTATCAATATGCTATTAGCTGTAATGTATTAGTCCACATAGACATTGTGCTCCTTTGTTCAAAAGTTCCTATTATCTAAGAAATTGTTTAAATCAATTAACTTAACTCTATCTTCCTAACTTTAGGAAGTTGAGATAATTCAGTGACGTCTAATTTAGTCGACACGTTCTTTATCATTTTTTCTTGATCAACCATTTGGTACTGTAGCGAACGAAAACAAAAGTCACAGAAACTCTTACTAAAACCTGAGAACCATCCAGTAAATACTACATTTGCAAAATTTTCGTTAATTGTCTCAGACTCTGTTTTTTCTTTATTTCCATACCAATCACTCTCTATTCTCCTTCTCTTCTCTTTAATTTTACCAACTCTATGCCGCCAGACATTACACTTTCGATTAGTGATACATATTACTTACATCAATCAACATCAGTAGCACACAACCACAGTACAATAATTCATGTTTTTCTTTTCATTTTGCTGTATATCACATAATAAACTATAAACCATGTTAGTGTGAAAATCAGTTTTTTTTTTCAGAGTAAAATAAAGACATTCATTTGGTCATCAAAAAAGTATTGAAACTTTTATGAGTTTGAGAATGTTTTTACAAGACACATTCATAAATTTTGGACATCAAGTTTGATCTGTAGCAACTGAAATAAATCTGATAAAAAAATAGTTATTTTGTTTATGTCAGAAGGGGGTTTTGTGAAGATTTTAGTAATTTTATATAGTTGAGATCATGAGTCAATTGAAGCTAGATCACCATGGAAAACCTGGAAGCACTGGACGGAGGTTTCGTCCTTTTGAGGAGTCCCACAATAGGACGAAACCTCCGTCCAGTGCTTTCAGGTTTTCCATGGTGATCTAGCTTCAATTGATTCATGATCTCAACTATATAAATTTATGTTTTGAGATAGATTTCTAATGTTTCATCTTTCCCACGAGGTAGTTGTCAGGTTTTAAATTTCTACCTTTGTCTTACTAGGTTAGATTAGAGTGTTAGGTTAAAATGATAAGTCAATTTGATGAGACTATAAATCTTTAACGAGTTCGATGTTTTATAACTTGTGGCCTGCAGTTGTTATTATCTTGTACCTGCCTATTAGAGAGGAGTGATTTATTGATCGGACCAATGACACACAAAACCCGTGTGAACAGTCTGGAGCACTTGGCGGTCCTGCTATCCGCCTAGCCCAGTCAGTTAAGTTCAAAACACCAATAACAGCCCCTGCAATATGAATCATTATTTTCAAACATATTGGGTTTATACACTAAACAGACAGACCACATCGTACCATAAAATAGAAAATAACATTTGTACAAGATTTGACCAAATGTGGCTGTGAATGTAGGGAACAGTAATTAATAGACGGAAGATAACTCAAAAACGGCAAATCGTATAGTAATAATCTATGGGTTAAAATGAAGCTTATAATAAAGAGAATATGAATAGTTGAGCTACTTGACAATTGTAGAACAGGAAATATACGCATCATACTGGTCCATAAATAATTCTCAAAAGTTACCATTTATAATTCTCTTCGGTATATAACAGGATGGATGCAGAACGCCACTTCAGACAATAAATTCGTTGATCATTTGATTAATTCTTATTATAAGGAGTACTTTCTTCAGTCATATTCCATGAAATGGTCATAGTCTACGACTGGTCATCAGTATTTTGATCTATTGGTTTCTTAATCTACTCATTTTCTGTCTCTATCCTTTTTTGTACTGATTTGAGCTATGATAACTTGGATCGATACAAATTTATGCATCGGCCCACGTAGTCAATAACTACCTTATAGATTTTATTTTCTTCTCCTGACGAAATTTAACCAACGGTCCATTTTTCAGTACGAAAATGCGACTTGATATAAAACCTGAGATTAATATACAATACAGAATAGTAATTTCTAGATTTTCTTCTTGGATGAGAAGTCATATACTTTCAGAATAGGAGAACTATCAATATGGGATTTAGATTTTGCTCAACCTACTTTTGTTTGCAAACAAAATTTAGTCCAGAATAATTTTCAAAGACAATATTTTATCAATACGGTACTTTGTGAAGATTGTGGTATTTTAACAGTTGAATTTACGAGTCGATCTAAACTAGATCATCACAGAAAATCTGGAAGTACTGGACGGTCGTTTCATCTCAATATGGAGCTCCTCAGCAATGAGCATCCGCGATCCCTCATTCAGGACTCGAACTTAGGGCCTTCAGTCCCACACAAGAACGCTTAAACTCTAGGTCACTGAGTTGGGATCAAACGGTATTAATGTCTAATTTCAATTAGTCCATGATCTTGTGTAACCTTTCATTCATTGTCTTCGGTGGGTAACTGTCTCACACGCGACACGGATAAGACTCCACTAACCACGGTTTCTCACTAGAACTACAGGAAATTCATCTTGATGCTAGTCACTAGTGAGCACATGATTATTATCAGTATAAGGCCTCGTGTAAATTGTGGTATTTTAACAGTTGAATTCACAGGTTGATCTAAACCAGACTATCATTGAAAACCTGTAAGCACTAGATGGCCGTTTTGTCCAACTTTTTTATTTTGTAATTGAATATAATAATTTCAAGATTAATTTGTTTAATGTGTCACCTGGACTAAATGGTATGAAAATGTACTCGAAACTCTCTCATATGGCCACGCGTATATAGTCACTGCCAGAGAAGTCCTACTCACTGTCTTCTCGTGGCGGGGGTGTTGTTTACGAAATTGAGAGAACGAAAAGCGGATATCCGGCGCTTTAACCGGGTTAATGGATGTGGAGTGTCCACCTAGGGAAATTGGAAAACCCTGACTTCCAACCAATGGTGCACGTGGGCTTCAGGATCCTGAGGGAACAAATGGCGTATTAATCAATTGTTGGTCACCGGTTACCATGGGAGTGCATCTCCACACGATGCTCAACTGCCTTGTGGATCATATCTTTAGGTCGAAGGCTTCAGGTGTGGTCCCCTAAGAAAACCACCTGCTTCGGTTTGAGCACCCGGGTAGTAAATAAATACTCAATAACTTTTAAATATTATTAAATAAAAAGGACATAAATATGAATGAATGATCAGTACCATAATGTAATGATTGATCCAATTCATCCATTCTATAAGATTTTAAATGTACTTTTATAACTTCACATAAACTTTTCCTAAACAAAAACAGTCTCCAGTTCATTCTATAATCTTTAATATAAACAAAAGACATTTGAACTATAAAGGTTTGTAGATTTCATTACATTTTATTATTCCTTTTGCGTGTTTATTTATAAATAGAATAGAAAATCTCAGGATGAACAGTTTATTCTTTAATTAGGTTTTTTTCTGAGAAATTTTGGTGAATGCTTTCATTCAAACAAACAACATGTCATCAATGGTTACACACATACAATAGATAGAGAGAAAGAGAGACAGTAATGGTGGAATGAAAATGATCCCTTCCTTTGAAAGTTATCCTTTAACTATCTTAACAATAAGACTTTTAATTCTTATACTGATTACTTTGATAATTCTTTAACATTGTTTAAGTTTGTATCACCATAGTTACATAGTAAATTACACTCGTTTAATCTTAAGATTATTAAAAATAACCTTATTACTTTTTCTAAAATCTTAAATATAAATTGAAAAGGAGGGAAAAGTAATCTATTTGAAAAGTACATTTATCTTGCTTCATATCTGTCTTCCTTCCTATACTATATCCTTATATGCAACTTTTCTTTTATATTTTACCACCATTAAATTAACTGCTTCTATGAATTAGGTGTTTATCTTGTTGTGCTAATGATTGAGGTATGGCAACTTGAACCGATGCATAAATGTGCCTGGTCCTATGTTGTAGCTAACTGACTGACTGGACTATATAATGAAATAGTTAAGTATAGTTTCTCTAGTTTACTTGTAATTAATTAATAAATCTTAATGATAAATATTACTAATATAAGATAATTATTCACGACATTTTTTCAATGTCCACTAAATATTCATATCATTATTATTTATTTAAGATCATAAATAATTGAACTAGATTGATCCATACAGTTAAAAGGGCTAATAAGTTCAATTCAAGTGGATTAGATTGTTGAGAGACAAGATCAAAATCAGAATGAAGTATATGAGAATTAGTTAGATGGAATATACAGTGGTCTTGAATGCTGTTAGAGGTATGAGGGCAGTTATCACTCCCCGGTTGCCCACACCGCGGAAGGGTTCTTCTAGAGGTATCTGGAAAGGAAATTGGGTCAGAAGTGGTCTTAATGACCTGAGAGCATGACCGCTCTTCAGCCGACCTGCCTGGCATGGTAGGACCTTGAGGAACGATTGTTCCAACCAGTATAGCTCGATTGTTTCATCACGATAGGCAAGCCCGACCACCACGTCAAGGTAGCAGCAACGGTCGGGTAGGTGTATACACTCTTTATCTTCCCTTAAACCTTAAGATTAAAATTGCTTCATAACTTTCCTCCTTCCTATACTATATCCTTATATACAACCTATCTTTTATATACTACCACCACTAAATTAACTACTTCTATGAATCCTGTGTTCATCTTGTTGTGCTAACGAGGTATGACAACTTGAACCGATGAATAAATGTGCCTGGTCCTACGTTGTAGCTGAATGACTAACTGACTAGATAGAATATGACTGTATAATCTTGTAGTACAATGCTTTGCTGATCGTTCACCTCGATAACTGTTATATTGCAATCCTTAACGGTGCATGAAATTAGAAGGCAAAGAGAAGCTGCAATTATAGTCTATTATCAAATGACGCAGGCCACAAAGCTATAAGCACATCGAGCGAAATATGAGTAAGTATCAGCGAGCAAGCGCAAGTAACTACATAGGCAAATTTAAAGTCAAATTGTAGAAGGACGAAGCAAGACAAAGCAAAAGCTAATAATAGTATTTGAGTACATACATATATGGGGAGGAGGGTGAATCACCATTGAATGATATTAAAGCAATCAACGTTTTGTCTAGAGTCTATCATGTGCTCTAGTGATCATAACACAGTACAAAGATATATTCGAATTGTTACTATCCAAATGGCAATGTCTGTTACGTAACTTAATAAAAAGGCATAACCAAAATTAACCATAATCGAAATTAGGTGTAGGATAGTTGCTATAATCTCATCATTTCTATTTTGTTAATATCAACGATTACATATAACTGATCAAAACTAAGATAACAAACCAATTAGTATACAATGATAATGATCTCAGTGTAGTATATTTTCACTAAGGTTTTACGTTTCTGCATTATTTTCCCCTTTCACTATTGATATGACAAATACTCAGGTAAAGTGTTTACATTTATTTCCACAATTTATGAAAGTCTGAAAGAATACTGGTTATTGATAAATATTATAAAAAGGTAGACTAAACAACTTGATTACTGCCCAAATGAAATATACGTCAACTGGAATTTTCCCATTAACATTTAGAACTACAATTAATCAATCTCATATTGGCATATGTACATCCTGTGCGAATTGTCATGATATTGCCTCAAGTCACATGCATTGTTAGCAGAGATGAATATTAGCTAGCAGTGGAATTCAGAACACACTCTTCGTTCTATTTGGGACTTGTCAGCTAGATGAAACTATACTAGAGCTGATGTTCTCCCGGAACTCGAACCCAGAACCATTCATCCAGCTACTTAATTCAGATAGTCACTAGCTTATGCAATGGAGTGAAGTTAAATTCATTTTTTTAATTGGTTATTTGAATTTTCCCATTGAAATTTTGAACTGCGAATGGTCAGTTTCAAACAACCATTACGAAAACAATAGATTATTTTTTTCACTGCAAACAAGTCATGTGCTACATCTACGTTCCTGAAAATTTCCAAATACTTCTCTCTATTCTCTAACAGATTCAGAAGTCTCACAGCTTTCAAAATGTAATGATTAATTTCAATAATAAAAAGAAAGGAGATTTCGGGACTACTGAATAAGCGATGGTAAGGTTAAATCAATTAGATATGCCAATTTAGTTGATGAAGCAGTAATTATTCATCGATTGAGGTGGTTGATATTACCTTTGCCTGACAAATACAAATCTTGACACTCAGTATTAGTTGTTGTAGGAATTCGTTATGATAAAGTTAGGGATGGGAAAATCAACATATCGCATCAGTCAAGGAAGCTCTTGACCATTGAATAGTATCTTGTAGATAAATACAGGCTACCTGTCTGGGATCCGCCTGATTATTGAAACCAATGTTTGGAATGAACACAAGTTGTAGGAAATCCACAAACTTTTGAATCCTAATAATTAGTCCTTGAACTGAAATAAAGTAATTCGATGGCGTTTTGCGTAGTTTTTGTAACAGATTCAAAAGCTGCCCTTCTAAAGTTGTTATTTAGAGTTGACTATCGACCTTCTTTGTTGATGAGATCATCGGACTTCTCCAATTTCTTGTGTTTTTCTATAGCCAACTGACTGAGAATGAGTGTTGCTCTATTGATTTTGAGGGAATTTTATGGCAGAACAATTGTAGAAAAACATTTTGAGTTGGGCAAACTGTGTGTGAACATCGTCTCTAAATCTTTTGGCATCCGAGAAAAACTTAAGACCTACCTAGTATCAAAATTTCATCAAATGGCCATCAGTAATGACTAATTATCGCTCTTGATATCTTGCCTTAAGTCTGAGGACTTTTATGTATGTTTTTAACAATTAAAGAGGGATATGGAATCAGTAGACTGTCACAACGCGAAGTATTTTTACTGTACTGTTTTTATGAATTCGTTTCACGTATTCCTTGAATAAAGTATGTATTGACTAAAAACTCTAAGAGTTCTGTTTACCTATACTGATATAATTGTAGAATGTAGGATGACTGTAATTATTAAGTCAATAAGAACGAATATTATTTGACTGCTCATTCAATCATACAGACAAATATCTTCAACGCGTTTGAACGGACGAATTCAACTTTCCAATTTTTACCTGACTAGTACAATAATGAAGAAGAAATTGAAAATTGTAAGTGAACTTTCAGGTACTTATTCCAAAGTGATGACTGACAAAAATATTACCCGAATTAAAGGAATCAATAACTAGTCAACTCAATGTTCTATTTCGTCGTTATATAAACGACGTATTCGTCTATCTTAACATTTCATCATAATAAATGAATATAAAGAAGCACTATATTTGATGAACTAATCAATTAGATTTACAATAGGGTCTCTTGGATATTTTTCGGGAGATTTGCTCATCTATAGAGCTACAAAGCACTCTTGCTTCATAACTGATGTCCGTTAGTGGTGCTAACCCTGCTCCTGATTTCGAAACCTGATCACTCATCGTAATTCCTATATACCCTTAATTTAACCCTAATAAATGGTTAAAATTTTTTAGTCACTTCTAGAGTCTCCCACAGTAGGTGGGAGAGAACAAACCAGATTTCAGTGGAGGAAGAAATCAGGTAGAAGCGCTGGAAGTGGATAGTACACATATCGAGGTAAGCACCCAACTGCATCACAAGGCAAGCCCTGACTTGAAATCCTCAGGGCCCAAGAAAAAGAGGAAGACCAAAGAACACATTTGGTCGAGAAATCGAAACAAATATGAGAAGAATGAATAACAACTGAATAGAACTAGAGAGAAAAGCCCAGGACAGAGTAGGTTGAAGAATGCCGGTCGGCGGCCCATGCTCCATTTGTAGTAACAGGCGTAAGTAAGAGTCTCTCAAGGTCATCCATAAAGTATAATGCTACGGAATATTTAAGTTTCATAGACTAATTTAGATGCAATCAGAATTAGATAATTGAATGATTTACAAACATTCTAATTGAAATAATTTAAAAAGATCCTCAATATTCTCATATATTTTTTCCTCATTTAGATTCATGCAAACTGTCGATTGCGTCGTGTTTACTTTTGTGATCGTATTTATTCAGAAGATGAATTACCAAGAGATTATAAACTTTATCTTCCTCTTCATCCAATATCATCTAGCAGTAGTCGAATACATCATCATCATCAACTGAAAGCAATATCAGATGGAAAGACTTCATCAAATCGTTGAAAGATTTCATCCCCTATTTTGTTTTTTCTGTTTCCATAGCAACAATATTTATTCATCATGGCTATTTTATTATATTTACACGATTGGATATTTTTCAACTATTTCATATACACTGTTTTCATATGTTAGTCTATGTAAAATTATCACAGTAAGCAATTGAAATCGTCAGATTAGATGGCTGGGAATCAGTCGAAATAATTCAGATGTATTCACTTTTTGTCATCTCTGAGATCTTGGCTTTTAAAATTTATTTTATACATCTTTTCAATTATATGAACTCATAATTTACTCTCAAATTCCATCCTTTATATCTAGTCTTTTCTATGACTTCTGACAATATTGTTAATTTCACTACTTTGAATCGTATATTGATAATCTCATCTCACTACGCTATTGTGATCCGGCAACTTGGATCAATCCACGTAAATGTTCCAGGTTCTACATTGTATTTGACTAACTAATTGACTGGTCGACTCATTATGTTCATAAGTATAATATGTCATCTGTTTCTTCCATATTATTTGTAATGTGCATAACTTTGTTTTTAATGTATTTCTCTTTCTAATAATAATTCAAATGGAGAGAAATTTATTTTTGTTCTATGCATATCTGTATAATCTGATCTAGTATGTTCAAATAAACAAACGCACATGACTCACTGTTCCAAGGTATATATATATATATATATATATAAGTTTTTTCCAATAAGCTTTATTTTCTCTTCCAATACATAAGAATAGAAATAATGAGCCGCTGGATTCTGAAGTTATCGAGGCTACGATAAAAGAACATATTGTGTTCAGAAACATTTAGTTGTTTTATATAATTGAAGTCATGAGTCAATTGAAGCTAGATCGCCATGGAAAACCTGGAAGCACTGCACGGTCGTTTCTTCTTATTGTGGCATTCCTCAGCAGTGCATATCCAAGATCCCGAGGAAATATCAAATTTAAACTTTAACCAAAGTTGTAATACTGGTAAAACTCTGATTAAAGTAAACATTTGAGAATTACAGATCTATGTAGATATGAATCAGGTATGAAATTTAAGTGATAAGATTTGAACTACGAATGAGTAAACAGATTCTATAATAACAAAAATTGCTGAGCATCCAAATTGATCTTGCTGTTTACTAATACGATTTGTCTTCAGATGATGACTATAAATATTACCCAATGATCAATATGTAAGTCGACATTCGTTCCTAAACTGAGCGAATAACATCCTTTTGATGAGGTTGTTCAATAAAGGGATGATTTTGGTCATATATTAATTTATATTTTTCTTATTTATGAGAGGGCTATCTAATATATTCAACACAACTAAATGTGCTCTGGCGCTAGAATGGTAGTTCCTGGGTTCGAATCTCGCTAGGCGGGATCGTTGATGTGCACTGCTGAGGAGTCCCACAATAGGACGAAACGGCCGTGCAATGTTTCCAGGTTTTCCATGGTGGTCTAGCTTCAATTGACTCATGATTTCAACTAATTTGTATATTACAGCAGTTTCAAGATCCCCATAGAATACTAAGTAACATAGAATATTTAAACGAACAACTGTTTGCGATGACTTCCTTATCAAGCTCTACAATTGTAAGTCCATAATTATTGTCATATTTTACAAAGGAGCAGCAAGGGGGTACCCCTAGACCAGATCCTCTTTTTTTCCAAGATAAACTGGAGAATTGATCGTTGGACGACATCCTAAATAAGCTTGACTATTACTGTCCATACATAGATGACACACTAATCGTTTGTGACAAAAGTATTGACAAACAAGAGGTGTTGAAAGGTTTCAATAACGTTCATTCGGCTATTAATTTCACCAACAAAGAGGAGAAAGATATTAGTAAAGCTTTCCTTGATATCCTACTTTCTAGAAGGATAGCGGTCCCACAAAATGAATGGAGGGGTCAGTATACAAATTTTCATAGCTTTACGCCATTTCAATACAAGAACTCCGACACGGTCAATAAAAGACCCTCCGCCTAAAATTAAATTTTAAAGGGGATACAGCAGGTGATATTTTGTTGCGTCGACTTAAAGGATCTGTTGGGGGAACATTTCACACCACCAAGTTACATATATTCTTGGCAATCAAACCACTAGTTACACAACAAACCAAGGATAGAATTCACTTAGTATTGTTTGTTTGGATCTTCCCATCGATGTGTTTAGGACTGCAACTGGTCAGTCTCCATCTCTGCAAACCAAGGATAGGTTACCGATGATGGGATGCTATATGTGTGTATGCCAATTCAATTGATCCTGTGGAGCTAGTTACATAGGCGGTACACAGAGAGCATTATTTTTGAGTGCTCGCGAATATGTATCAGCATGGTTGGGAAAAGGAGTTACTAAATCTATTAACAGAGCCATTCTTTCTAATAATCTAGATAAAGGAGCTCGATTACGGCACCCCTACATAACTGAAGCCATCTGTTACAACTCCAGAAAACCGAACTTATGTATCTAGACGAGGTATATCCAGCCTTTATATTTACCTTGATCCATAACTGGATTACCAGATACCTCAAATGGATATTATAAACTTTTTATCCTCCTCCCAATTCCTTCTGCATTTATCTTTCTTAACCTACACACTCATCTTTTATAAATCACATGAATTTTTTATCATAATTACTTTAACAGCACCTCTCTTATTACATATTATATTCACACAACGTTATTATTATTACTACCTCGATTAACAATACGAATGCATTTTTATCCATAAGATTCAATATATTACTATCACATTGATTATAACGTGACACTTTACTACGAATCATTCTGACCTTACTAATTTACAAAAGAACACAATTCTGAAGTATTTAAGACGTAACAGAACGAAGAACGTTCACCACTTTTTCTAAACATATAACATTGTCAAATTCATTAACGTATGCCTTATTTGGACCTTAGTATATATATCACAATAATAATTATGGAATTATAAATGTAGAACCTGATGTTGACGTTATTCAAAGCAACTGTTCGGTCAAATATTCTTTGTTTTCTTTTTTGAATAATTTGTATATATGTGATTTGTATATGAATAAACCTAATCTCATTATCCAGGGTTAGATAATAGTTATATGAAATAATACTAATATTAATACGTCTCATAATAATGATAATATACCCTGACTAGCAAGCTCTCTCTCTCGCAATTGTTTAACATTAAAATTCCAATCAGTTAGCTTTGTAAGAATATTATAAATTTAATTGACGTATTACGGTCATATGGATGTGGTTGCTTTCACTTAACACACAAGAACGAATGGTCACATTTCTTTAGTAATTTTTGTTTCATTATGTAGTTCGACTTCAAATAACAAGTGAGCTAAGCTCCTAAACAGATTCTAGCGTTTTCTTGTGAGTACTTATACAAATCATAATAATGAAGAAAACTATAATTTAATAATTTATATAAATCATCGTCTAATATGTAGTACTTTAGAAGGCTAAGGAATAATTCACCACCAACAAACACACACGTCAATCCTTATTCAATATAAAATTCAAATAACAAATTCGTTCATATTATGAATCTTTGTCAAGTGAGATGCTTGGAACATATGTCACCTATGTTCGACAGCCGCCTAACTAACCCATCATATGATGTTAGCTGATATAGAAATTTGAAGAAAGTTAAGGATGACCAGACGTAGATGTGACATCAGTCTACCAAGTAGATATTGACTATTCTGAGTAATGTTGATATATAAAGATTATTTGATAAGAATCCGTGCAATAATAGCTATCAGAGATAAAAGATGCTGAACGATATCGAATAGTATCGGATACGATAGAGTAAATGCATGGAATCTAGGTTTTCTATTCTAATAACTCATCATATATTCCTCTTTCCTCTGTCATCTTGAACCATATTCTCAATGTTTAATAATTCTCATTATTATTGCTATTATGCCATTTCGACTCCATCGCTATTTTTTTTTATTATTTACAACTAATATTAATACAGTGTGCGAATTTGTGCTAACGCATTTACTTATTATTTATTTAAACACATAAATATTGGTACAAAGGGACACCAGATACATATGCGCCACACAAATCGCATTTGATTTGTGTAAGGGCTGTGATACTGTCCAGGTACCCAAACTGAAGCAGGTGGTTTTCTTAGTGGACCACACCCCGAGCCTTTGACCTAAAGATCTGATTCACAAGGCAGTGGAGCATCCTAAGGAGATGCAGTCCCATGGTAACCAGTGACCAACGATTGATTCATACGCCATTTGTTCCCTCAGGATACTGGATCCAGCCCATGTGCACCATCGGTTTGGAATGAGGGTTTTCCAACTCCTCTAGGTTGACTTTCCGTATCCACCAACCCGGTTAAAGCACCGGAAATTCTTTTTTCGTCCTCTCAGTTTCGTAAACAACACCGCCGCCACGAGAAGGCAATGAGTAGGACTTCCCTGGCAGAGGCTATATACGCGTAACCATATGAGAGCATTTCAAGAGGGAGAGCGAACACTTCCCACTCTCGACCGTACCAAGGCATTTGGGGGCTAACACAAGTTTATACCAGATCCTAATAATAAATTCATAGCAACTAACTAATAATATTCAATTTTAACCATAATCTATTATAATTCACAATAATAAAACAATGTTATCACTTTTATTTTGTAAAATAGTTTTAATCATTAAAAAAAATTAGAAAACATTTTCAGAAAAATAAAAGATAAGAGAAAAATAAAGAAGCAAAGGTAAAAGTAACAAAAATAAAAAATCAATAAAATATAGTGAATTAAACAACCAATCATGAATTTTATAAACATTTAAACTTATATTAAAAATATTATAATGTTATTGATAATTTTTAACCCGGTTAATTTGAATATTAATAATGATGATGAATTGAACTTGGAATTATGTGATAATATTATCGATTGATTGATTATTATCATCATGATCATGATCATGATCACGATCATCATCATTCATAACAATATTTGATTTAGACGATAACGATTGTGAATTATTAACAACTGATTTCTATACAAATTGTGATTAGATATAGAAAAGAAAAAGAAATGTTTATCAACACGTATGAGATATAGTAGTATTGAAAGAAGTTAAGAAAAAAAAGTGTATTAAGAAATGAATTATCAGATAAAACGGTTGTTATCATTATCTATTAGTAAAAGATAATATCTAGCTTTCGCCAACTTGTGTCATCTATGACACAGGCGAGATATCCGTCTATTAACCAAAGGACGGGTTTACTGTGCGGCAGTTCGCTCCGTCCTACTTTATGGCAGTGAAAAATGGCCAATAAGAGTAGAGGATATTCGTAGGCTGCTAGTATTCGATCATAGGTGTCTTCGAAGCATTGCTCGTATATCCTGGGAATACCGAATAAGTAATGCAGTTGTTGGGAAACGGGTACTACGTAATGATGGCAAATCGATTGATGAAGTAGTGAAACTTCATCAGTTGAGATGGCTGGGACATGTGTTACGTATGCCCAACCACCGACCGCCCGACGTGCGATGTTTTATGGTGTAGGAGTAGGTTGGAAGAAAGCTAGGGGCAGCCAGACCAAAACATGGCATAAATCCATCAAGTCACTGACAAGTGGACTGAGCCATATTGGTAGGTGTAGACTACCTGGTTGGGATTCGCAAGATGATAGCACTCGATGGTTAGAGACCTTGAATGACATGGCTCAAAATCGTTTGCAATGGCGAAGGTGCATCCACTCTTTGTGTTCTGCCAAATCCTAATCTTCTGAATTCTTCATGTCTCTATCTTTTTTTTCTCTCCAAATTTATTTCACTTGACTATACTGCTTCAATAACATCTTCAAACACTAATCTTTAACATTAATGCTTATACTCCTACTACTTATACCACTATGGGATTTGAATCGACAACTGGATCTCTGTGTTAATGTAGTATGGCAATTCGAACTGATGTATGTACGTACGAAGTTCTACGTTGTGACTTACTGACTAATATCAAAATACGATTCATAACATGACGGAATATCATTGTGAATTGTCACATTTATACACAGTTGATTCATGAAAATACATATCTCACTACTTACTTACGCCTGTTACCACTCGTGAAGGAGCATAGGCCGAAATACATATCTAAATATATCTTATTTACATGATAAATCATAAATACCTGTCTTCAGTGTTATCTTGATGCACAAGAAACTGTAAGTGTAGGATAGTAGAGTTATATTGGAATCATGAACAGATTAATGTTAGACCGCTATTAAAAACATGGTAAACCTGAACGGCCCTTTCCTCCTTATATTCATTCATTATGTGCTCAACAGTAAATAGCTTCGAGAGCAAGTTGTCGTAGTTTTAGTGTGAAGCCGTGATCAGTGAATTTCAACTGTGTCAGGTGTGAGGCAGTTACTCACCGAGAACAATGGAAGATCGTCACGAAATATTGTGAATTGACTGAAGCTACACATCAACACTGTTGGATGCCAGCTCAATGGTCTAGAGACGAGGTGTTCTCTCATGAAACCGAAAGTCCTGACTATGGTTCTTGTGTGCGTAGTCGTGGATGCCCAACGTTGAGGAGTTCCATACAAGGACGAAGCGATCATCCAGAGTTTCCAGGTTTTCGATGGTGGTATAAGACAGATGGGTTCGTGATTTTAATGAGTAATTTTGTTGAGACAAGGAGAATAAAGCAGAATGACAAACTGTGTAACCTATTTCTTTTTTTCTTTTTTTTATTTAGAGGCAGAGTCAGTCAGTCACAACGTAGGACCAGACAAACTTAAGCATCGGTCCAAGTTGCTATACCTCATTAGCACAACAAGATGAACACCAAATTCATAGTAGTTAATTTATTGGTGGAAATATATAAAACAAAGGTTGTATATAAGGATATACTACAAGAAGAAAGACAGATATGAAGCAATTCCAATCTCAAGGTTTAAGGGAAGATAAATAGTGTATATAACTACGCCATTGTGATCGATACTCAGCCATGTCACACAGAGTCTACAACCATCGGTTACCATAGTCACGCGGACCCCAACCAAGTAGTCTGCATCTACCAACATGGCTCAGACTAGAAGTTAGTGACTTCAAGCTCTGATGCCACATTTTGGTTTGGCCGCCAATACTAGTCAGCATAGCGCGTCGTGGTAATCGGTGTTCAGGCATACGTAACACGTGGCCCAACCATCTCAGACAGAGTAACCTGCAGAAGACGATAATAGATTCATTATTTATGTAAAATCTGTTTATACTCTGCAACAGTATTTTCTTTTCCATAAACTATCCACTTACAAAACCTGTTTTTTGGCTAGAAATCATCTGTAAATTTACCGTGGTTGTTTTGGTTTCATCTTTATACTGTACTTTTACTAAAATTTGTGTGAATATTTCCTTGTGTTTTTCATTATTGGCTTGCAAAATGGGAAGCATTAAAGCAGACAATCAGCGCTTAGAAAAGATTACTTTGTCAGATTTTGGAATAGTCAAGTTATAAGGTCAAAATACTCATAGCCGAATCCATACGTGCTGTCATAAGGTTATATTCAGAAGTCTAATGTACCAAGGACATTGATAATCTATAAGTTAATTTCCTTACATAGCAGAAGTCAGAACCAGTAGGTACTCGAAATTGTCAGAGTATATGGCATTCGTAATTTAGTGACCTAAATTAGGGTACCATTAGAGATAATGAAGACCTTGTCATAGATAGAATCATTTGCTTTGAGGTCTCACAAGGAGCGCTGAACCATTAGAAAATTGAGCGGCATATATTTACAAGGTTTTGTGTTGCATATGACTGACTTATGCATTTCCAATTTCAGACGATTCATCATACAACGCGACGATCAACCAATGGCACTGATAACGAATAATTCACTTCCGATATGTATGAACATTAGTCGGCGATTATACAACACTAAAGCTTCAGGAAGTCCCGATTCCAAACCGATAGTGTATATAGACCCCAGGATCTTGGGAAAACGAGCGGAATATGAATTCATCCTGATCACCGGCTATGGAACATTATCACTTGATATTTCCCCACTATTTTATATATTATACCTCAACGTGAAAGAGACGGGGGACTGACCTCCTCAGAAGATTATCTGCTTCGGTTAGGACGCCTATATATATATATATATATATATATATATATGTCAATGATTTCACCACAACATTATTTCTCTACTCATGTACGACATATTCTATTTTTAATGACTATGTGTTGGGAATGTCAAATCCCCAGAACTCGGTAAAAGGCTTAATTTTGTAATTTTATTTTGAAAATTTGGACTTCTCTGTTTTCGCGCCAAAAGCGCTCTTTTCACCTTCAGGTCGTATTTCCCACTTGTAAAATATCTTAAACGCTATTGGTCCGCAGTATCTTTGAGTGTGCTCTTTTGTAATACTGCCCAAGGACAATTTATTGCTGTATATATATACGCTTGATTTTTCCCCTTTTTGGATTGCTGTGCTTCTGGCTGCTACAGAATATATTTTCCTGCTTTCAACTTGAACTTCTACTCTAGTTAGCTGGGTGTGGATCGCGTCAGAATAGCTAGCTTATTGGTCTCTGGTCACAAGTCTTTGTTCCGTTCGCTACTAGTGAATTCAAAACGCTTCAGACATAACACTATTTGTATCACATTTTATAAGTAATAAAACTAACTAAAATTGTACAATGTACACATAAAATAACAAAAACAAAACAGTAAAACATTTATGTTAATAATATTAACTTACTTGAAGTGAATTCACACTAGCTCCAAGTCTTGGCCATTCTATTTCATCTGTAACTAATCCAATTGGTTTTAAATTGGAATCAGATAATTTTCTGTTAGACGGAGTAGTTTTCATTATATTAACCTCAGTATTTTTAATCAAATACTTTCTATCTTGCTTAATTGTTTTAATTCTACTTGTAACAGAGTTAATAGTTGGTGTAATGATGACATTATTATGACTTATACAAGTATTAGTATTGGTAATGGCATTAGTATGATTAGTCTTAGACTTAAAACTATTCTTTTTATATACATCATGAGGCATAGTGTTAACTTTTTCCATCCCAGTTATATAACTATCATAATACTCATGTTGATACTGTTGTTTCTGTTCATTTACACGATTATTAGTACTTTTACTGCTATTATCATCGTTATCATTATTATTACTATCACGATTTACTTCAGCAATAACAGTAGGGTTAAAAGCACGAATCGAATGATGACTGCTATGAGTGGTAGTGACAACATTTTCATTTGTACTTGCTTGCGAATTGAATCGCTGTTTTTGATGATGACTTATATGATCAGTAGAAGCAGTAGTACTGTTACTACTACTAGTAGTAGTGGTAGTAGTTGTTGTTGTTGTTGTAATGATAGTATTACACTGATCAGAATGACATTTCCTTATTCCATTGGCAGTATTCTGTTTTAACGCACCCATAGAAAGTGGATGATTATTATTAATATCATCACTCTGATTATTATCATTACTATTATTGTTATTATCAATAATGATACTATTGGGAATAAATTCTTCTGATTGATTATGGTGAAGAACACTTCCATCGCCTGATGAATACTTTTGTGAGTTTTTATGAAACTCTTCGACGGACACACCACTACTAGCGGTACCATTTTGATGATGACGACAGCGACGTGTTTGATTATTGCTATGAAAGTTACTAACAGTGTTAATGCGCACTTCATTTGTCAAATTATTCAGTGTAACAAGTTGATTTCCATGAAATGGTAAATAGTGATTACTCTGAGGACATTGTTGTCGCGGTGAATGAATCATAAACGGTGTTGTATAATTTGATTGTGGTAAACTGTTCATAAAACTATGAGATATGACATTGTCCGAAGGATAATGTTCATGATTATGAAATGGTTTTCGACTGTTTGTGTTGACAGTAGTAGTGTTGCGATTCATTTCTGAGTGTTGAATAGCATAATCTGGAGATGGTAAACTGGAATATGTACATGACCAATAACTGACGGCTAATGGTGCGATAGGTAGACTTGGTGTGTTCGATAGGGTTTGTTTTTGTATATGTTGACAACTCGATCCCAAATATCCTGTAAAATCATGTCGACCAGAGTCATTATGTAAATACAATGTAGCATCCAGATCACAAGTACCAGGCGATGGAAATACAAAATTATTTTGATAATGATGATATTGTGAAAATCTACTGGGATTACAACGTGATTGACCATTCGAGATATCAACACACTGTTGTTGTTGCCGTTCTTGTTGATTTTCTTGAGGATGATCTTGACGGTGTGGATGTGAGAAAGGTAGAAAGTTTCGATCATGTTGTAAAGCTGGTGATGTATACGATCTAGACATGTATCTACTATTATGACCTATATCGAATGATTTATCAAAAAGTGTATTTCCTCTTGATGGGAAATTAGATTTTGATAATTTAGTGGAATTTATTGGCCAAGCTGTGGGATGAGATTTAGTAGAAAGAAAACGCAGCAGGTAAAATCGTAGACAAAAAAAAAGAAAATTGCCGGTATTAACTAGCGTATAACACAAGAGATGAAGAGTTATGTTAGGGAAAAAATACTTTTTACCTCAATAGTGAGTTTGTTTTCCGTAAACTGTCAAATTTGTCACAACAGTCAAGACCATGAAACTAGAAAATCAATAAGTCCTTAAATTCCAGAATTTTATATCAACCAAGAAACGATTAATTGAGGTTTTGCATAGTTCTGTATGCGTTGGTTCTAAATACTTTTCTTCTATCAAAAAGTATGAAACACTTTTAGTATACTTGGTATGCATTTAGCAGTGGAATTTATGATACGCTTTCAATACCATTTCAGATTCATTAGAGGTATGGACCCGTATTTTAACGTTGATATTTAAGGTCGAACTTGCCACATTTCCTTTTAAATATACCTGTTATTTAATAAGCTACTGGATCTAAGGATAGCTTCTAAAGTGCTCAAAGGATGTGAAGATATCAGTACGCGTTCGTAGTTTCCATTTCTTGATACTCAAGACTGTTAATGATCAGTCTTAACACCAACACCCGGATCTATGCACATTCACCTGACGACTCTCGATTAGGACGAAACGTGGAACCTGCATTTCATTGATATTTAGACACCAAATAAACTAAAACTTGTGAGATAAAATATCTAGGTAATCCGCTCAGGATGCATACATATATCCACTGAGACTGATAAATCTCAGTTGTGGATATCCCCAACGGAAAGTTACAAACCTTTATTTAGAAACAGTACCGCCCCGGCCGTTTTGACTTAGTATGGGAATCCTGAGGAGTGCGCACCCACGATCCTATAATCTATAGAGGTTATCTCAAAACAAAGTTTCTTCTCAATGACGCAAATATAATACATGTTAATGAAAATTTAGAGTTAATCGGATACTAAGCTGAAACTGTGTCTAACGCACAAACTAGCTCTATATCTAAAACTTTAACTGATTTATCTGTTGTATCGATTATGTAGGATTCGCAGTCTTACTGCGGAAACCACTCTAATTCCTTGATCTTACTGCTCATAATTCAAAACAAGAACCACTGCAATTCCAACGACATAAAACAAGAATACAAAAGGCGAGTGAAATGAAGATTCATTAGCTCTTCAAAAGATACGTCAATATTTAATCCCATCACAACGCCAACCAATTACAATGGGAGGATCTCTCTGATAAAGGTCCAGTATCAATTTAAAGAACTTTGGATATATATATATATATATATATATATATATATATATATATATGAGAATTCAATCAGCCTCACAGTTAAAACAGTAACATGACAATCAGTTAGTTAAGTGGACACAAGTAACCGCACGAAGAAGCATAAAACTCTAGCTAATAACTTTCTATAGTTAGAAATATTTTTTATCAGCCTAAAACTTTTTAATGGGGATATTAATGCTAAACAGTTAACCTTCGTTTGAGGTAAAAGACTTTTTAGCTAAATGTGCATAATTAACTCATTATTAAGATATTCATTTAGGTTAAGAAGAAACCTAGAGGAGTGGTTAAACAAAAATTTGACATTAGTTCACCAAATAATCTAACAGATGAGATCAGATGCTGAACTGCTAGAGTGAGGTCCGTGAGATAAACGCAATCAGACTTAGAGTGACACATAGACTTAGAAACAGTCACAAGAACACAGACACATAGACCCTTTATCTTCCTCTTAATATTAAATTCAAGCACTTCTAAAATACATGACTATCCACCTTGTCTTTTTGAACCATATTCTTGACGTTTATTCTTTCGCATTACCATTATTAGTGCATTATTTCAACTCTTTTCGTATTTATCTAGTTAATTTCTTCTAGTGGTACTAATTTGGCATGGTAATTTGGGCCAATGTACATTTGTACCAGGTTCTGCAATATCATTGTTATCATCTACTAAGCTAAGTCTCCCTTGTTCAATCTTAATGTATAAAATGAAGAAGGATTCAGTTAAACCATACGAAACCTACAAAAATTGTCACATCGGTTAATAACAATTCTCTATGAATGTATAAAATAATGAAGGTGTTACAATAGCTCAGCAGGACGAGGTTAACGATGCTAGACTCTCTGAACTGAATACTTTATTCGAGCTGCTTTCCAGTGTTTGTTCTTTCAACAAAATTATTAAAACATATCTCAAAAAGACATTTAGTTATTAGAGATTTAAAGAACATACTATACCAAGTCAAAAGAATACAAATACGTATTAGAAAAAGAATATTGATACACATCACTTGAAAAATGGAACTTTTTCGTTAAGTCGAATATTTGAGAGAAAGAACTACTCGCATATAAACTCAGTAAAGTAATCCTATCAGGCTTTTCTCACATACAAATGTTTAGAAAACCGTTTAACTGAATAGACAGGATAAAATATAAATACTACTTCAATAAAAAAACGAGAATACAAATATGACAGTACAAATAGAGGAATAAGAAGTTTATAATGACGACCAAAGGCTCAGTGACTAGCTTTGAGAAGAAATTTCTAGAGTTCTAATGAGAGAAGTCGCGATCAGCGGATTTCAACTGTCAGATCGCCTAGTACGGTAAAGTAGGAAATAGTCAGCTCTCTCTCTCAAAATTCTCTCACATGTCCACGCGTATACAGACACTACCAGGGATGTCCTACTCATTGTCTTCTCGTGGCAAGGGTATTACTTACGAAATTGAGAGGACAATAATCGAATTTCCGGTGTGTTGGCCGGGTTGGTGGAGAGAGTTGGAAAACCCCGATTCCAAACCAATGGTGTACATAGGCTCCAGGATTCTGGGTGAACAAATCAAGATGAACCCATTGTTGGTCACCGGATACCATGGGACTGCATCACTCAACGTTGCCCCACTGTTTTTTAGATTAGATCTCTAGGTTAAAAGCTCGGCATGTGATACCCTAAGAAACCACCTGCTTCGGTTTGGGCGTCCGGGTAGTATTTCAGCCCTCACACAAATCTCATTTGATTTGTGTGGTGCATATGTATTCGGTGCCCCTTTGTACCAATATTTACGTGTTCAAATAAATAGACAATAAATAATACTGTCAGATGTGAGGCAGATAAGCACCGAACACAATGGAAGATGGTCACGAAATATCGTGAGTTGCTGAAATTACACATTGACACTAATGCATGCCGACCCAATTGTCTAGAGACTAAGTGTTCGTCTATGAGACCGAAAGTCCTGGCTATGGTTCCCGTGTGCGTGGTCGTGGATGTGCACTGTGGAGGAGACCCATGTTAGGACGAAGCCGTCATTCAGTGTTTCCAGGTTTTTAGTGGTGGCTAGTGATTTTAATCAAATTCGACAATCCCAAGAACCCTTTACTGACAACTAGTGAAATTTAGTAATAAAAATACGTTCATCTATAACATGAATTATCATGCTATTTATAGTCAATTATATCAAGCGTATTATTACTTGGCACTGACCCGCACTCCAAGTTCAGAAGTTAGTGTTACTACCAAGTTGTCCAAACAGAAATATATTCAGCGCGAATCGAAACTGCGACTTAGTGGCCTAACTGGACGCCAAAACATCTGAGCCACCTTTCAACACTCCAGATTTGATTCAGCCGGAAAGTACAAGGTAAAACAGATGAAATGAAAGATTCTTCAATAAATGCATTACTCAGAGAAGTTTATGAGTTAGGAGTAAATCACCAATTTACTTGTCAAATTTATATGGTGAAGATTTGTAGTTCATGTGGATGATTTTGATGGAAGTTGAGTTCTCACAGTTGGATCGTTTAATCACTAAGCTTTTATTGTTCTTTCAAAAAATATCAGCAACAGCATCAGATCAATAATAACCAATCAAAACAAAGTCGACAGCACAAGCTACCAAACATACGTAAAGAAATAGAAGTAACTCATTTCTACCTGAACTTTTTGCTGACAATGTTGCTCAGAAGAAAAATGAAGGCTTCATGATTAAACTATCCAGTTCAGAAAACAAAACTCCATCGAAAAATTATCGAATCGCACGACAGATAACATCTTTCATTATTGTAATCGAATGCTGAAAAAACTTTGTTCCGAAATAAAAATGTTAAAGAAACACACACACCCAAACAATATTAGTTTATAATTAAAGGAAATTTGTTCGATCACACAGAACAATGAGTTAAACAAACAAAAGTAGATTATATTTACACAATAGTGATTAGAGTTATTTATAAAATACCTATTTCTGGTGCAGTAATACAGTTCTATTAGTGTTATGGTATTTTATTTATTAACGTTGGCAGTGTGCTGTGATTAGACTACAACAATAATAACAGTAATCTGTTAACATAAAAGTCAGTGAATAATCTACTATACCTTTGCGAAGCATGGACAATTCCATTAATTGCATCGATTTCACTTTGTCTTCCTTATCCGACTGTGTTTTGTGTGTGTATGAGTGTGTGGAGAAACACACACAGACAGAGTGGAAGAACAAGGAAAGTTATTACACAAGACATGAGAAGATATATGTACATACATACATAATACATAGTACCTATGAAAATATAAGATACATTGGAATACTTCCAATGTTGATCATGATGACTGAAGACCCTGGGTTTAAGTACCAAAAGCGAGATCATGGACGTACACTACTGAGGAATCTCATACTAGGTCAAAATGGCTGTCTAGTGCTTTCAGGTCTTTGATAGTGGTCTAGCTTAGATCGGCTCGTGATTTGAACTGTATAAAGACAAAACGGTCGTTCATGAAAAAACTCCAAAAACTCTAACTTGTGGGTTTAATCCTAAACCATTTTGCTTCTTCGGATGATCTGATATTAAAATGATAAATATAATAGATCGTGTGCAATGTGCCAGTGTTTGTTCAAAATTAACTCTTAAATAAATCATATTATTAGTAATCCTCATGGAATATTAGATACTTTTGAGGTATTCGAATGTCATCCATTTATAGATTGTTTTTCGATAACACCTTCTAATCAATCTACTAAAACCTGTGCACTTAAATGCGTAGTAGTTATGCGGAGTGGTATAAAAGAAGTCAAACAACCTCAGAGAAATAGTGATACCCAAGATAAATCACTTGCTAAACTAAACACAAATCGTTTCTAATAATGAAAACCTGATTTAAAAAGTCGAAAAAAATAGATGATTCATTTTTTGAAAGAACGCTTTACAGTTATAAAATTCAATTCTTTTGAACATTACTTCATACATATATTGCAATTTGTAGCCATTATTACTGAATGTCTTTAGTAAAGCAAATTTACAAGATTATTTCCTTTAAAAGGGCCTCCTTGTACTAATATTTATGTGTTTTAATAAATGAAAACCGAAAGCTTCAACTTTTCATCTTGTTGTAACACTAGCGAGAAACTACGGTCATATCGCATGTTGGGGAGTTATCTACAATTGGTATTAAGACGGTCACACAATAACCCGAATGGACTGAAGTTATTTAGACATATAAACTACGAAGTTCCGGCTTAATATTCTATAGCTTAAATGCTCATCCTGAGGCCTGAAGCATCACATTCGATACTCTGTGGTGAAGGTTGTGAATACGCGCCGCTGATGAGCCGCCCCCCCCCACATTAGCGTAAAACAACTGTACAATGCTTGCTAGTTTCCAATAGCTCTCTCCAATTAAGATCAATCCGTGATGTAAACCATAACTGCTCACCTACTTTTCTATTCATTTATATACATATTTATTTGCAGATTTTTCAATCATACTATGAATGTAGCTGATAAACTCTCATCACTAGATATTCACCATTACTATCATCGTGTGAAACAAATGAAATGGAACAAATGACAAGATGATTAGTGACAGTTTATAAACAAACAACGGCATAACTATTCTAAAGAGTAGAATAAATCACTTTAAATTAAGGTATACTATGTACAGTTAAAATTAATTACTATTAGTAATAGTAATAATAGTAAGTAGTAAGTATCATCTGCATGTATGTGTTATTTTATAATGAGATTGAAAAATAGAAATGAATAAACAAATAAATACAGAACCATATAGGTAGTTTGAAAAGTAATAATGATGAAAAAATATATATATTCATGAAAACAGATCATCTTGACGTTAATACTGACAATACAACACGTGGTAATGCATTGTACACAAACGTTTGTGGTGAAAACAACACTTTCGTTTATAGAGAGAAAGAAAGAAAGAAGAAACTAATTGATGGTAATAAAATAAGGTAATCAATGAAAACTTAAAATGAGTTTAAGTCTCATTAATATAACCATAGAAATAGAAAGATGTATAAATATTAGTAATGACATGTACGTTGGTTGTAATGCCTATTTTACACTCAGTCAGTCAGCTACAACGTAGGACCAGGCACACTTATGCATCGGTTCAAGTTGCCATACCTCATTAGCACAACAAGATGAACACCAAATTCATAGAAGTAGTTAATTTAGTGGTGGTAGTATATAAAAGATAGGTTGTATATAAGGATGTAGTATAGGAAGGAAGAAAGTTATGAAGCAATTTTAATCTTAAGGTTTAAGGGAAGATAAAGAGTGTATACAACTACGCCATTGTGATCGATTCTGAGCCATGTCACTAGAGTCTCCAACCATTGGTTACGATAGTCACGCGGACCCCAACCAAGTAGTCTGAATCTGCCAACATGGCTCAGTGTTTTACACTCACTAAGCATGTTTTTTTCTGAGACGAATGTCTTAATACTAGCTTATAAGAAAATAGAATTTCAATTAGGTCTAAATTCATCTATCGTAACTCAGTAAAACAGAAGTGCTTTGATTCCCGATTCTGTGTGAAGAACTAAATGTACAAAATCATGTCGAGTTGATGGTACAGAATTCGAATCAATGACACTATAGTTAAATGTCAAATATTTGAACCATTAAGTCACTAGTCCATTTTTCTTTATATATCTTTTGATCGATATGACAACAATAATTATTATTTGATACGATGGTGTCCAGTCGCTAGTTACTTGTCTATTTTCAAGTTAATAACAATAATTACAAAAATATATATAATAATTAGCTTTATCATACAGATTTTATTCAAGATTATTGTAAGTCTGACATTCACAAGTTTCAACACGCTATAAAAATGCATTTATTCTAAGAATAGACATACACATACATGCATACACCCTGAAATAGGGCTCATAGATGAAGGAGAAAAAAAAAGACTAAAACGCGATTTACCGCACTTACTGCTTTGACACTTTCCTGTAGAAATATACTAATACATTCGCTGGCTTTTTCAAGTCTAACTTTAGCACGATTTTCATAATCTTCAACAGTAATTAAAACATGTAAATTATCATTTAAATGCTGCTCCGAGTTTGGTCGAACAATATTTGCTCCAACCTAAATTCAAATACCATGAAAAATAGAAAATAAAAAAGTTTCTCTGAAATTATGTGAACAATGATAGAAACACGAAAATTTGAATGAATAGTCAGTCATAGATACTCACTGCTGAGGAGCTCCCTACTAGGACGGAACGGTCGTCTAGTTCTTACAAGTTTACAATGGTGGTCTAGCTTAGATCGACTCATTAATTCAACTGTTAGAATAATCAGTTAGCAACGGTAGAATCTGGTAAATATTTAAATTGGTTTAAGTTTCGAGATCACATCAACAAAGTGAGATGTGATTATGAAGGCAAATGCTAGAGTATTAGTACAAGTAGTAATAATGTCAGTGTTAATTAAAAAGACCAGGCATAGGAAGTATGATTTTTAAAGAAATGGATCCGCAGAATAAAATATATACGATAATTTTAAAAATTATTTAAGGGAAGACAAAAATTGAATGCATCTGAGTCACGTGACACATCTACAACCAGGTAGTCTGTATCTGCCAACATAACGACTCAACATTCAATGACTTCAGTGACTGATGTCATAACATAACTTTATTCCAACCTATTCCTACCCCAGTGAACATAGCACGTTGAGATGGGCATATGTTGAATATAAGTAACAATACATGTCCGAACCACTTTAGTAGATGAATCATTACCTCATCAGTCAGTTTGTCATCTTTACATAGTAATATGCGTTACGAATATATATATATATATATACAATTTATTGATTTATGAGGATGATATTTCAATGTGTATTGATACTCAAACCAAGTAATCTGCACGTAATCAGTGTCCTTAGGTATGACATGTGCATTGGACCTATTAAGTCCAAAGTACTTTTACAAGACTATTAGGAGTTTGTAAATCTACTCACTCTTGTTAGTGAACAGTTAGAAATCGTAATACACTAAACATATACTACCATAATTACTCATAATTCTGTGTTAACGATTAAAATAGCCTTAATTATCAAACAAACAACCACGTTCATTCTGAAAAATCTTTAGCAAGTATTTTTAAAGATCTGTATACAATCCCGCTACTCGTATTGCTTAGTATTTTTCGGACATTACTCGACTAGTCCCCAAAATCGGAACACAGTTGAACAGGAATGAAATTAGACTCCAAATAAACCAAGTTGGGTGAGAGTAATAATCACAAGGCGAAAGCTGTTAATAAACTTATAATTTATACACAGGAACATTTTAGAGTCTTCTCTATCTATCTCCTAGCGCTGACTGGCTAAAAATGGGGTATTCAGCGTGCCCCAATATCATCCTGTATAGAACATGGACTATTTTCAATCTATGGTCTGCTAACATAATCGCTTAAGGAATACACAATTTCAAAAAATGTATTACTTTATTAAAATAATACATAAATGCTAAAGAAATTTCAGTAGTAAACAAGAACCCTTTCTTTAGAAAAACAAGATTCAATTACAACTCACTTTTGTTTGATCTCGCATAGACCCACGACCACGAATCATAATTTTCACTCCTAAAAATTGTTGTAAGCATTTAGCAGTGGATCCGTGAGGACCAAGAATTCGTCCAACAAAGTTGTACTACATAATATTGTGCACGTTTATGAAGACGGAAAAATATTGATTGGAAATGAGGAAATAAACATAAATAAAGATAGTGTAAATTGATGGAAACGATGCCAAAAGTTTATGATGGTAAGTTTATTGTTAAAATCAAAATAGACAGGGCAGGATTCGAACATACATTATAATTCTTGAGTATTTTAACTACTGAGTTATTACTTTTACGGTCGGAAACAAAGAAAAAATAAACGGTAAAAGTGATTTCCCTTGAATTTACCAGATTTAGTAAGAATTTTCTTAGAGCTGCAGTAAAATTGTAAAACGTTGGTTAATATTTCAGTCTACCATTGTAAGGCTTTTATTATCTTTCACGACAACGACCAAGAAAAAAGGTTAGCAACTAACCATGCACATCAGTACTATTTTAACGTTGATATTTCTAAGTCTTAACAAGTAAAAGGTTGTCATTTTTTCCATATTATTCACCTGGAACAGATGTAACCTACATTTTTTACGCGGTACAAAAGAATGTGCAGATAGACAAAGAACACATAAACCATTATAGTGTACAATATCATATTAGGTACATGTGTATGTACCCCCTAAAATTCCACTTAAATAAAAAGCAACTGTTAAAAACGATAACAAAACCTATGACCCTATAATGGCAGTATCATTATTCATTTCTTTTTCTCTCTCTTTCCACAAAACACAAAATTAGTAACAGTAAATCCTTTTCTGCCCTTAAAAAACTTCTTGGAATACAAAAAACGTCAACCTAATAAAAACGATTTCTTACACTAAGTGAAACCTCAGTAACAACAAACCTTTTTTCTGTAGAAGTTTAATGTCTCTACAAAATGATAATAATTATGGTAATAAATCGTTAATGAAATCTAAACAAAACAGATAAAACAACAAGGAGTAGCTCAGTACTGCACATCCATACACACTCTTGGATTAGAAAGTCAGTGTAACACATTAAAAACAGGAGAGAGAAAAACATAAGCGCAAAAAGTGTCATCCATGAAAAATAAAATAGGTGGTCAAGTAATGCAGTGCTAGAAAAAAGAAAATTTACTGCTCTTTTCATTTCTCTCCTTAATTTTACATATAATTAAAAACATACCGCAACGACAACAGTAAGAACCAAATGAAGAAATGACAAATGAAGAAATTATGAAATTAGTGGTAGTAAAAGACGAGAACCGTAACCCTTTGAATAGCCAAATCTACACGAGACTATTTGATTGTGTTGTTGTGGCCATCACTGGCAATGGTTGTGATCATGATGTTTATTTTTTTGACATCTTATGATGAACTGGTTAATCAGTTGATGAACAATATAGAACGAGAAAGAACAAATAAATATATACAAATAAACTATAGACAAGAAACTGAGATTTATGAAAAGTCAGACTATATATATATATATATATATATATATATATATATATATCGCTGTATTAATGTTGTGTAACACATATACGTTAGCTCCTATCTTGAGTATGAGATGCTGACAACCAATGTAATTATTACTACAAATACAAATTGGTGGGCTGATGGATGGTTGATTATTGAGTTGAGTTCAGACCAGACCCAGCCAAGTTCAGTTTGAGTCAGTCAGTCAGTCACAACGTAGAACTTCGTACATACGTACATCAGTTCGAGTTGCCATACCACATTAGCACAGAGATGCGGTTGTCGATTCAAATCTCATAGTGGTAGAAGTAGTAGGAGTATAATCAGAAATCCAAAAGATTAGGGTTTGAAGAAATTATTGAAGGAGTATAGTACAGTGAAATAAATTTGGAAAGAGAAAAATATAAAGACATGAGGAATTCAGAAGATTAGAATTTGGTAGAACACAAAGAGTGGATGCACCTTCGCCATTGCAAACGATTTTGAGCCATGTCATTCAAGGTCTCTAACCATCGGTTGCTGTCATCTCGCGAATCCCAACCAGGTAGTCTACACCTACCAATATGGCCCAGTCCACTTGTTAGTGACTTCATTGATTTGTGCCACGTTTTGGTCTGGCCACCCCTAGCTTTCTTCCAACCTACTCCTACACCATGAAACATTGCACGTCGGGGCAGTCGGTGGTCGGGCATACGTAACACATGTCCCAGCCATCTCAACTGATGAAGTTTCACTACTTCATCAATCGATTTGCCATCCCTACCTAGTACTCGTTTCCTAACAACTGCATTACTTACCCGGTGGTCCCAGGATATACGAGCAATGCTTCGAAGACACCTATGATCGAACACTAGTAGCCTACGAATATCCTCTACTCTTATTGGCCATGTTTCACTGCCATAAAGTAGGACGGAGCGAACTGCCGCACAGTAAACCCGTCCTTTGGTTAATAGACGGATATCTCGCCTACGCCATAAATGACGCAAGTTGGCGAAAGCTAGACGAGCCTTCTGTATCCGTGCTGAGATTTCGTCACATACCAGACCACAAGGGCTGATGAGACTCCCAAGTTCAGTTTGAAAACAAGATGGTACCATTAGCTTTTATCCTAACTAAAATATGATTCAGTCATTTAAATAAACCAGTATTTCGCTACGGAGTTGTATTGAGTTATTTATCAATTGACGTGAAGTAACTTGAAAATAACTCATAAAAAGCGGAAAAAATATGAACAAAATATAGGTACCTATTTAATTTTTTTAGGGCTGATGTCGACTTTGATTACATTTGTGAGTTATAAGTAGTATAAGCGTTGATTTTTGTGAATGCAGAACTGAGTATAGAGACGCTGTTATTCGGGGTTAATTGATAAAGACAACAACTGAGTATAATTAAAGAATTTCCAGTTTGATGAAGAAAAGAGATGTGATAGTTTTCGATTATCAACCTGCAGAAATGTTAATAGCTCAAATAAATGACCCAACAATCGGGATGGAACTATTTAAGATGAGATTCTAATGCTCATAACGGAGACGTTATACGGAAAAATAAAGTCATACTTTTTGCCTCATACTTTCTAGATCATTTGAATCCCACACAAGAAACTTTACTTCACCCAATATCAACGCTAGAAACGTTTATCTTCCCTTAGACCTTGAGACTAAAATTGCTTCATACCTCTCTTCCTTCCTGTACTATATCCTTATATACAACCTATAATTTATATACTACTACCACCACTAAATTAATTACTTCTATGAATCCAGTGTTCATCTTGTTGTGCTAACGAGGTATGGCAACTTGGACCGATGCATATATGTGCCTGGTCCTACGTTGTAGCTGACTGACTTATCAACTCGTTAGCTGACCATACTGGAGTTTTTCTCCAAACAAACTTAACTGGCGCCAGCATAACATTAAAATAGAGTCACCGCAATCAATTTATGTTTGTCAATATGGTGATTTCACATCAAAATAACGAAAGTCAAATCTTTGTAATAAGCACTACTTACCATTATGTCAATTAGCTACTCTACATAAACCATCACCCAACATAATTCATACGGGATTTCGTGGAGTCAGGCGATGAACTATGGATTTTAAGGCTTGTTAATTCATGTTGATAAATATAACTTACCGTGAGATGATTTTTGTCTATAGTGATGTAACTCATCCACAAATTACAAATTATGTACTCGGTTTTGAGCTTCATAATTTTGTGTGGGAACTACTACTGCTACTTGGTTGCCCAAACCAAAGTAGGTGGTGAGATATTCAAACCTGTAACTAATTATTTGAAATCCAAGTGTTTGGACCACTAAGTTATCAATCCATGAGATAAATTAGTACGCCAATAGGTTTAATTAGTAACAACGGACTAGTGTCACCACGAAATTCACACTACGATAACCGCTGCCTGTGTTGTTACTACTCTTTAGCATAACATTGGTACATGATTAAATACCAAGAAACAGGAACTCCAACAAGCTAACCATATACTGTTATTGCGAGCCTAACGCAAAGTTGCTTCTAATGTCTACATAAGACGTTTTCTTTTCTAAGCCGATGACAAACTAGGTCGCAGGAGTCGATTATACTAAATATAGAAACAGAATAATGTGAAGTCTATTTATTCTGCAATGTCATGTTAACGGCCTACGACTTTGATCAGAAAGCATTGCATAATCAGTTCGATGAACACGAACAAATGGGATGATAAAAGTCTTCAATTAGTCTGTTGAAATAAACTACCATTAGATAAATACTCTATGAGGACTAAAAGGAAATGGATTATCGAGAAATAGAGTATGGAAAGCACAGGTTACCCAGAAATTGTAAAATATTCAAGGAATCCAAACAAATCCGGAGAAATAGCAAAGTATGAAATACACGATCAAGACAAGGGTATATTTTATGTGTGGTAACAAATAAATGAGTGAATAAATTATTTAATGACTGATGTTAGAAATATCCAAATTACTATGATAGATTGATAGCCCCTTTCTACCAAATGTACAGGTTAGCTTTGAGTACTTTGATAAAAAGTACCTCAGCAAAATGCTACAAAATCGCACTCCTTTGTTTATTAGTTATTTAAAATGACTTCAAAACTAGCCATTAAGTAACGATTGCATAAACTCACTATAAAAAATTTCGACACCTTTAAGTCACAGCTTTTTAAAAGGTTATCAGGAATGTGAATCTATTCCCACCGCCTACCTATTTTATGGTTAATTGTTTGAGGAATTTAATCGCCTCTAAATCTGAGTGACAAAACACAAGTGCATCTTTAATTTATTACGCTTGACATATTTAAGTTATTTTAGGATGTTCATTTTACTACACATATGTTCCAAGTGGTAAGTTTTGTCAGGAAGCAACTTTAAAACAAAAACAATGTACTGTTTCATGTATTTTTATGATAAGATTTTCATCTCTGACTTTTCTTTTTAGCAATAGCCACCAAAAAGCAGAAGTAACTATAGAACATGAGTATGATCATGTCTCGCCTCTTAGACATCGGAATTTAACAAACGATTCAACAGAAGTGCTCATTAACTACCAGTGGTAAGTTAAGTGAACAACAAAACCGTAAGCATACAGATGGTGAAGAGACGTATTCACAAACTAGCTGTCTATATGATAACAGTTAATTAGCTATCTCTATGCCACTGACATCACCAGAGACCAGTTCGACAGGCTACATTAGCTCTACAAATAACATGTATTATTTTGTGACTTAGTTGGTTGATGAATGTCATGTATAAAATACACCTGAAGTTTTATTTGCTATACTGCAAAAACGGAACAAGGAATCTAAGATGAGGATTCAATCAAATGAAACAAAATTTCTAGGAAAGGAATTTAGAACAATGGGAGAAACTAAAACAAACACCTGTAGTGTGACGTGAATCAAACGAGAAGTACAAAGTCCCACATATAGTTTAATAAATAGTATTTGTGGTTCAAACAGTTGTTATCAAACTTAATTGAAGTAACCCAAATAAAAAGGGATTGAAAACCGACGATTAAGTATCCACCTCCGACACTGACTTTGCCCCCAAATGCTCTGGTATGGCCGAGAGTGGGGAGAGTCACCTCTCCCTCTCGAAATGCTCTCACATGGCCAGCGAATATATAGCCTCTACCAGGGAAGTCCTACTCACTGCCTTCTCGTGGTGGGAGTGTTGTTAACGAAAGTGAGAGGACGAAAAGCGAATGTCCGGCGCTTTAACCGGGTTGGTGGACACGGAGGGTCCACCTAGGGGAGTTGGAAAATCCTGAATCCAAACCAATGGTGCACATGGGCTCCAGTATCCTGATGGAACGAATGGCGGACGAACCTGTCATTGGTCAACGGCTACCATGGGACTGCATCTCCTCACGATGCTCCACTGCCTTGTGGATCAGACCTTTTGGTCAAGGGCTCTGGGTGTGGCCCCCTAAGAAAACCACCTGCTTCGGTTTGGTCACCCGGGCAGTATCACAGCCCACACACAAATAAATGAAATGATGAATTCTATTGACGATACTATTCCTGCTCATATTAGAAGCAAGACAATTTACATTATTATTATTATTACCTTTATTATTATTATTATTATCATTATTATTGTTATTATTATTATTATTTACCATATCGCTAACTCACCCCCTTTTATCCCCAATTTGTGTAACCTTACTTTACAACTTATGCAGCAGCTCGCCCATGGTGGAAAATCTGTCCGATCTAAACGATCTCCAGTCACTGTCTGGTTGAAAGTGAATGCTTCCACCGATTATGAATGCTGAAGCAGTCTTTCTGAAACCACGTACGCCGTTCAAGCTGGCTTCCTTCAACGTTCACACACTAATGCATATTAGACAACAGATAGGGCTGGCTATGTCTTTGGAAGGTCTTAATGTTGATGTTTGTTGTCTATCCGAGACCCGTATTCAAGACTCTAGTGAAGTACTACAAATCCGCTCTCCATCTGTCGCCTCGAAAAGCTTGTTCCACGTGCGCCTATCCGGGGACCCTGTGGCTAGCTACCACCCCACCGAAAAGTATAGATGAGCATTGGTTGCTTCTTCAAGACGCCATGAAAATGGCGAGTAAAGCCGCTTGCGGCTTCGCGAAACGTCCCGCTTACAAGCACTGGGTTTCTTCTGGCTCCTTACAACTGATGGAAGCCCGTCGGTCTACTCCGAGTGAACGTGAGTTTGACCACAAACGAAGGATGTTACGTAATGAAATCGGGCAAAGCTTGCGTAAGGACCGGGAAGCTTGGTGGTCGGAGCGTGCTAATGAGATGGAAGCAGCAGCTGCATCTGGTAACTGCCGGAAGCTCTTCCAACTCATCCGAGCCACTGGCAGCAAGAAGTCTGGTGTGAATGAAACAATCAACGAGGATGATGGGATGCCAATCACTAACATCTGTCGACGTCTTGGACGATGGGCGGAATTCTTCGAAGGGCAGTTCAACTGGCCTGCTGGTTTTCGTTCTGGTCGAGGATGCATTGATCACATCTTCACCCTCCGCCAAATGTTAGAACACCGTCATACTTATCGCAGGCCAACAATCGTAGTGTTTCTTGATATCAGGGCGGCCTTCGATTCGTTGGACAGGACTGTTCTCTGGGATTGTCTATTGAAGAAGGGTGTGCCTGAGAAGTTCATTAACATCTTAAAGGCCCTGTATACGAACACCTCAGGCAGAGTGAGGGCATACAACCACCTTTCTCCCTTGTTCCATTCGAGCAGTGGGGTTAGGCAGGGTTGCCCGATCTCACCATTCCTCTTCAACTTTGCCATCGACGACATCCTGGAAACAGCTCTGATGGATGTAAGTAATGGCGGTGTGGATATGTTGCCTGGAGAACGACTTCTCGACCTCGAGTATGCGGATGATATTGTCTTACTGTGTGATAATGCTCAAGCCATGCAATACGCACTTAATCAGTTGGCAATCAGTGTCCGCAGGTACGGCATGTGCTTTGCACCCTCCAAGTGCAAAGTACTCCTACATGACTGGCAGGATTCTCATCCTGTACTCACCCTGGATGGTGAGCAGATTGAAGTAGTTGAGAAGTTCGTGTATCTAGGTAGCTATATAAGTGCTGGTGGTGGCGTGAGTGATGAAATTGATGCACGTATAATGAAAGCCAGAGCGGCTTATGCCAATCTGGGCCATCTTTGGCGCCTTCGTGATGTTAGTCTGGCTGTAAAAGGTCGGATCTACAACGCGTCGGTGAGAGCAGTTTTGCTCTATGCTTGTGAAACCTGCCCCCAAATGCCCTGGTATGGCCGAGAGTGGGGAGAGTCACCTCTCCCTCTCGAAATGCTCTCACATGGCCAGCGAATATATAGCCTCTACCAGGGAAGTCCTACTCACTGCCTTCTCGTGGTGGGAGTGTTGTTAACGAAAGTGAGAGGACGAAAAGCGAATGTCCGGCGCTTTAACCGGGTTGGTGGACACGGAGGGTCCACCTAGGGGAGTTGGAAAACTCTGATTCCAAACCAATGGTGCACATGGGCTCCAGTATCCTGATGGAACGAATGGCGAATGAACCTGCTGCTGGTCAACGGCTACCATGGGACTGCATCTCCTCACGATGCTCCACTGCCTTGTGGATAAGACCTTTCGGTCAAAGGCTCCGGGTGTGGGCCCCTAAGAAAACCACCTGCTTCAGTTCGGGCACCTGGGCAGTATCACAGCCCTCAAGCAAATCGGATGAGATTTGTATGGTGCATATGTATCTGGTGCTTCCTTGTACCAATATTTATGTGTTTAAATAAAATAATAAAAATAAAAAATGTGAAACCTGGACTCTCCGAGTTGAGGATGTTAGACGTCTCTCTGTGTTCGATCATCGTTGTCTCCGATGGATTGCTGACATTCAGTGGCAACACCATGTTAGTAATGCAGAGGTTCGGCATCGTGTGTTCGGGCACAGAGACGATAAATCAATTGGTGTCACCATCTTGAAACACCGACTTCGGTGGCTTGGAAATGTTTTACGAATGTCGTCCCAGAGACTTCCACGTCGTGCATTATTTGCCGACCCTGGGACTGGTTGGAAAAAGCGGAGAGGAGGTCAGTGTATGACATGGTGTCGTGGCATGAAAAAAAGCTGAAAAGGGTTAGCTTCTGTTGGTCCTTCACGACTCCCTGGCTGAGGTCCGAGAGATGGTGCAACACAGTGGCTAGAGACGTTATCAGATATGGCTCAAAATAGAAGCCAGTGGCGATCCTGCTGCAACCTTCTTTTACTTTCTACATAAAGAATGGTTCCAACTTTCTTAACTGAAAGAGTCTTCTGGTTGTACATTTTAGTCCGCCTTATCTTTTCATCCCTTCTCTTCCTACTTTCATTATTTTGTGTGGCGCATATGTACCTGGTGCCCTTTTGTACCAATATATATATGCCCCCAAATGCCCTGGTACGGCCGAGAGTGGGGAGAGTCACCTCTCCCTCTCGAAATGCTCTCACATGGCCAGCGAATATATAGCCTCTGCCAGGGAAGTCCTACTCACTGCCTTCTCGTGGCGGGGGTGTTGTTTACGAAAGTGAGAGGACGAAAAGCGAATGTCCGGCGCTTTAACCGGGTTGGTGGACACGGAGGGTCCACCTAGGGGAGTTGGAAAACCCTGATTCCAAACCAATGGTGCACATGGGCTCCAGTATCCTGATGGAACGAATGGCGGACGAACCTGTCATTGGTCAACGACTACCATGGGACTGCATCTCCTCACGATGCTCCACTGCCTTGTGGATCAGACATTCAGGTCAAAGGCTCCGGGTGTGGCCCCCTAAGAAAACCACCTGCTTCAGTCTGGGCACCTGAGCAGTATCACAGCCCTCACACAAATCGAATGAGATTTGTGAGGCGCATATTTATCTGGTGCTTCATTGTACCAATATTTATGTGTTTAAATAATAATAATAATAATAATAATAATAATAATAATAATAATAATAATAATGTACCAATATATATGTGTTTAAATAAATAAATAAATAAATAAATAAATAAATAAATAAAACACCTCACAGTTAAACGACTTTACTAGATAATAGGTGGAATATTTTTTTACAAATGACTATGCCTGATTGCCTATTGGAACTATTATGAGGCACAATTCCAAATACTAACACAAGCTAAATTCAAAGAAAAACAACATGAAAACTACACTGCTTATCACTTACATTGTTGGTAGAGTCCATTGGCATATATATTTTAGCTTGTAGATTAACCTTGGGGCCATCGGGTTTTGGCAATTCCTTTTCTTTTATTGGACAGATGCCGAATGTCGAAAATAATTCGCTCTGAACACGCAGTATTTCTTTTAAAAGAGATAAACTAGAACACAATTAGTACCTTCGCCCAATAGTTTTTCAACATGAATGTACAAACCAGGAGTGGCTAGGAGTTTCATACGATCCATGAACAGTTCCTTCAAGTAGTCAAGTAAATGCTTCATATTTTTTAATTCTAAGGCTTTTTCGGGGCACATTAGAATACGAAGTAATTAACTTATTGATTATTAGGTTAAAGAAGGGGTTAATTCATTCATAAAACATTCCCGAACTAGCAATGTGTGAGAAGCAAGCTTGTGTTGATGTTATATTGTTAGCAGATAGTTATAAGAGACATTTTAAACAGAAATGGGTAGTCTGAAAGGTAAAAGACACAAAAACTGTAATAAACAGATAAAGTCAACGATTTTTAGATTGTCTCTCAAGCATCATGGGTCTAGTATATCTTAATTAAACTGACTGCTATCCTCACCAATACGAACTAGAAGTCATATTTAAGATAGAGTGAACTGTGATATTTAACACAATCAGCACAATGGACGTATTTAAATCATTATGGTAATTACACTCTCGGCCGTAACAGGGCATTTGGGGGCAATTACAAGTGTAATGCATGATAATGAAGATATACGGCTACGATGATGGAATTCCATTGAAAAGGGCTTTGAAATTAGCGTCCTTAGTTTAAGAAACGAATTCCATGAACTAAGAGAAATCGTCGATTCGATTAAGTTATAACAGTTGTCACAAACAGAGATTCTAGGATGGTGTTGGGCTTTATTTGGGTTAGAA